CAAGTGGCCAGCATGGTAGCGGCCCAAAAGTAAGTTTCGTCTTCTGGAGAAATTATTAGCTCAACCGTTTCCCCGATAAAAGCTTTTTAGAGCACTAACTATTTAGGAAAGCTGTTACTGATCCAAGAATAAAATCAAGCTTACGATATAATCATACTTAGATACATGACCATCTGTTGAAGTCATCGTATTTCAACAAGATACACTCAACTATAAATATCAGTGTTTTCTTCGTCCATACCTTTGTTAGGTTCAATTATACTTTTTACTCCCTTATGATTTATTCAATTTTTAGTGGAATTCCGACTTAACTTTCCATCTCTGCTCTCTAACATTGCCTTTCGCTCACTGAAACAACTTACAATATCCTTTTGCGCAGTAGGCGACAGTGCTTTCAACAGACAACAATCCATTCCAAGAACAATACAACAACAACAAGCTTCATGGCTGCTTGGGAAGACAGCTTCAATCCCACGTATTCCCATGCGGCATTATAAATTAGGCATTAAAGAGAATCAAAAGACTGAAGAAGATATCGAACAAAAGATGCCATTGATGACTGATGGTAATTGCAATGATCGATTGCCAAGCAATAATTTGACATCGACAAGAAAAGAAAATCGTAAGGAAAGCATCTTCCTGGACTTCTCTAGCTTGGCAAATACCGCAATGCGTTCAATTATTCTAAAGCTTTTACTAAAATAAGTGTAAATTAACCTCACGGAGATTGATGAAAGCAGCGCTTCTTGCACATGACTTATGTGTTGCAAAGAAATTACGGTCCAAATGACCATAAATTTCATCAACCTGAAATCTCTGACTTCCAGAAAATATGGGAAACAAGCAACATGAGAATGCGCTCCTAATCGTTAAAGTGCCTTTTCTTGGTCTACGAGTAACCAAGCCCATCTCGAAACAGCTAACGCGCTGCCAAGTGTTTCTGTCGAAAGAAACATTAAACCAGTACTACATCCAGCAGATGAATCGAACGTCACATTCCGAACAGGCTAACCCCAATGCTGCACATATCAAAGCAACTGAAAAAGTTGCCAGCTGCATAATTTGAGATTCACACTATGAATTACAGCTAGCTCAAGAATCCGAAATATGCAAGATGTGCACTGAGTAACAAGGATTCCGAAACAATTGCAAATTTTTAATGTCACGTCCCCTACTTCCTAAATCTCTGCATCGGACGAACTTTAATTAACTGTTGCCAATCAGATTTTGAAAATATAACTCGGTCGATAAATTTTTATTCCGAGAGAAAAGCAAGAGTAACAATAAAGAGTGCTAAGATTTTACCTCATAAACTGCAAAACCAATTGCCAAATTATCCAAGCCCTGCGGTTTTAATTCTCGTCGGTTTTTCTGCAGCACAGCAATGATAACTGTGCAAAGACCGTCAGCATCGTCAGGATCCGGGTTCGATAATGTCATACCAAATTGTGGATTATTTGCAAAAGTATCTAGAAGTAAAAAGCAATAATAAATAACAATGAACATGTGTTATAGATGTACTTAAAATTCTTGGATCAGCTGAAATTCATAATATGATTCTTCATCATACATCAGCCAACCTCTTCAACCGCTTTGATTAATACCTCATTGCACAATGGTTGCCCTTTTGGTGATTCTGATGTCTATTTCACTTCCTGAATGAATTATCGGCTTAGCGGTTCTTAGTGAAACCTCTGCAAGATCTTAATGTTCTGCGTACCGAGTGTCACTACCTTTTATTAAACGCTACCACTAGCAGACTACGGCTTAATACCATATGAACTATGAGGCATTTTGTAATATAATATGCAAATTTTAAAATGACGCATGTTTTTACAAAGAATCCGCATCTTCATACATTTACTAATATGTGGTTCTCACTTAGATAGTTTC